TGATTCTGCTTCTTTTGTTGTCCTGTCCTGTCAATATAAAATTGTTTACAACTGATATAAAATGTGATTCAGTACATGTGAATGTGTTTTGTTCCTTTGATTGTAGTGTGATAGTGTTATTCATAAATGGCATCGTCGTCCGAAGGGAACAAAAAAGATCCGGCATGGAAATATGCACACTTGGTAAATCCTCAAAACACAAACAAGTTCAAATGCAATTTTTGTGGAAAAGAGTCAAATGGAGGTGTCTATCGGGTCAAGCAACACCTAGCAGGGAACTCTACGAGTGTTATTACTTGTCCAAAATGCCCTGCTCATGTTAGGGAGGAGATTAGAGAATACATGGCTAAAAAAAAGGAAGAGAAGAATCTAATGAACATGGTTTCCGACTTTGATGAGATGCCTAATGACTTGGAGGAGGATGAAGATGATATTGTAGAGATTGTTGCGAATCGTAAAAGATCCATGACTAGTTCTAGTCAAGGTTCTACACAAGCCACATCGAGACCAAAAAAACCAAGACAAAAAGGGCCTATGGATGTATACTTCACCCCTGATCCGAATGTTGTGGTGCAAAATCGAAAGACCAAGGGGAGACAAACGAATATTGATGCCAGCGATCCTTTTAGAAAGGAAATGAGAGAAAGAGCCATCACAACATTTGCCCGATGGATGTATGACACGGGAATTCCCTTTAATGTTGTGAACTATGAAAGTTTTGCAGCAATGGTTGAAACTTTTGGACAATATGGTCCTGGTTTGAAACCCCCTTCTTACCATGAGGTTCGGGTCCCATTGCTCAACAAAGAAGTAGGGCATATAAAGTCATTGATGAAAGATCACCAAGAGGATTGGGCAAAATATGGATGTTCCATAATGGCCGATGGATGGACTGACAAGAGAGGGAGAACCTTGATTAATTTCTTAGTGAATTGTCCAAAAGGGACCATGTTCTTTGAATCTGTTGATGCTTCTGCATACTCAAAGGATGGGCAAAAAATGTTTGAATTGCTTGATAATTTTGTAGAGCGTATTGGTGAAGCTAATGTGATTCAAATTGTCACTGACAGTGCGGCAGCAAATGTGTTAGCAGGTATGAGCTTCTTGAAAAAAAAAAGATAACTACTTGTTATATTGAATTTTTTTATGCACACTAGTTGATAAAAAAATCTTTATTTAATAGGTAAGTTTTTGGAGGCAAAATGACCCAATCTATATTGGACGCCATGTGCTGCCCACTACTTGGACTTGGTATTGGAAGATATCTTCAAGTTGTCAAACTTCAAGAGAACATTTGAAAGAGGAATAGTATTACACGGTTATATTTATAACCGTCCAACTCTGTTAAATATGATGAGACGATTTACCCGGTCAAGGGAGTTGATTAAGCCCGCAAAAATTAGATTTGCTACGGCTTTTCTTACGCTAACAAGGATCAACCAACAAAAAGGTAACTTGAGAAAAATGTTCACTTCAGAGGAATGGACTACAAGCAAATGGGCAAAAGAACAACAAGGCAAAAGGACAGCACAAATCATTTTAATGCCTTCATTTTGGAATAATGTTGTCTACTCTCTTAAGTTTACTGGCCCTCTTGTCCGTGTGCTTCGATTGGTTGATGGTGAAAAAAAGCCTCCCATGGGGTACATTTATGAAGCTATGGACCGGGCTAAAGAAGCGATTNGTAGGATTTGGGATATTATTAGTATTTGTATGAATTTAAATGTATAAGCTATGACTGTTATTAAAATTTGTAATATTATTAGTGTTTGTTTTAATTTAAATGTTTATGGTTTTACTTGCATTTAAATATTTAGTATATATAAAATTAAAACTTTGATGTGTATAAGTAATTACACTAAAATATTTATTTATTTTTTTAACTGCTCGCTTCGCTTTGNCTATTCCAATCCAGAGGTTGAGAAAGATCAAGAAGTCATGAATGGCCTATATAAATGTTTGGAAAAGTTGGTCTCAAATCCTGCGATACAAGATAAAATTGGTCAATAGTTGAGTATTTACATGAAAGGTGAAAACCTCTTTAAGCTGCTCATGGCGGTTAGACAAAGAACAACTAGGGCACCAGGTAATCTATGTTATCCCACAAGNACCTAGGCGTTAAGAGCCTTGGTCGCTTTGATTCGTTTAACGCCTTAAATAACACTGCCATTGCCTACTATGTTACCATCTACTTTGCCTCTTAGTGTATATTCTCGTCATCCTCGCCCATTGACTGAGGTGCATGTACCGTCTTCCTTGTCATCTGTTGATCTTGGTACATCAGGTAATTTAGACTTTTTATCTATTACTCTTCGAAAAGGTACTCGTTCATCNCTTTGTATAACCAATCTTTGCTCTCATTTATGGCAAGATTTTAAAGGCCTCTTGTGACTTAACAAACAAATCATGCATCTTATTGGTAATAATATGGTCGGAGACTGCATAAGAATTATACAAACAAATGAAAATGCAAGACTTAATGCATTCAGTACAAGTTAAATTGTTTACATGTTAAATATGAAATTGTTTACAACGTAATGCTTCTGGTTTTTTTTTTTTTGCTCATTTTGCTTCTGGTTTTTTTTTTGTGTTGTTGTCCTGATTCTGCTTCTGTCCAGTCAATATGAAATTGCTCCTGTGCTGCTTCTATTTTTTTTTTCCTCAGTCGTCTGTTTTTTTTTTTCGTTGTTGCATTCTACTGCTGTCCTAATTCTGCTTCTTTTGTTGTCCTGTCCTGTCAATATAAAATTGTTTACAACTGATATAAAATGTGATTCAGTACATGTGAATGTGTTTTGTTCCTTTGATTGTAGTGTGATAGTGTTATTCATAAATGGCATCGTCGTCCGAAGGGAACAAAAAAGATCCGGCATGGAAATATGCACACTTGGTAAATCCTCAAAACACAAACAAGTTCAAATGCAATTTTTGTGGAAAAGAGTCAAATGGAGGTGTCTATCGGGTCAAGCAACACCTAGCAGGGAACTCTACGAGTGTTATTACTTGTCCAAAATGCCCTGCTCATGTTAGGGAGGAGATTAGAGAATACATGGCTAAAAAAAAGGAAGAGAAGAATCTAATGAACATGGTTTCCGACTTTGATGAGATGCCTAATGACTTGGAGGAGGATGAAGATGATATTGTAGAGATTGTTGCGAATCGTAAAAGATCCATGACTAGTTCTAGTCAAGGTTCTACACAAGCCACATCGAGACCAAAAAAGCCAAGACAAAAAGGGCCTATGGATGTATACTTCACCCCTGATCCGAATGTTGTGGTGCAAAATCGAAAGACCAAGGGGAGACAAACGAATATTGATGCCAGCGATCCTTTTAGAAAGGAAATGAGAGAAAGAGCCATCACAACATTTGCCCGATGGATGTATGACACGGGAATTCCCTTTAATGTTGTGAACTATGAAAGTTTTGCAGCAATGGTTGAAACTTTTGGACAATATGGTCCTGGTTTGAAACCCCCTTCTTACCATGAGGTTCGGGTCCCATTGCTCAACAAAGAAGTAGGGCATATAAAGTCATTGATGAAAGATCACCAAGAGGATTGGGCAAAATATGGATGTTCCATAATGGCCGATGGATGGACTGACAAGAGAGGGAGAACCTTGATTAATTTCTTAGTGAATTGTCCAAAAGGGACCATGTTCTTTGAATCTGTTGATGCTTCTGCATACTCAAAGGATGGGCAAAAAATGTTTGAATTGCTTGATAATTTTGTAGAGCGTATTGGTGAAGCTAATGTGATTCAAATTGTCACTGATAATGCGGCAGCAAATGTGTTAGCAGGTATGAGCTTCTTGAAAAAAAAAAAAAAGATAACTACTTGTTATATTGAATTTTTTTTATGCACACTAGTTGCTAAAAAAATCTTTATTTAATAGGTAAGTTTTTGGAGGCAAAACGACCAAATCTATATTGGACGCCATGTGCTGCCCACTGCTTGGACTTGGTATTGGAAGATATCTTCAAATTGCCAAACTTCAAGAGAACATTTGAAAGAGGAATAGCATTACACGGTTATATTTATAACCGTCCAACTCTGTTGAATATGATGAGACGATTTACCCAGTCAAGGGAGTTGATTAAGCCCGCAAAAACTAGATTTGCTACGGCTTTTCTTACGCTAACAAGGATCAACCAACAAAAAGGTAACTTGAGAAAAATGTTCACTTCAGAGGAATGGACTACAAGCAAATGGGCAAAAGAACAACAAGGCAAAAGGACAGCACAAATCATTTTAATGCCTTCATTTTGGAGTAATGTTGTCTACTCTCTTAAGCTTACTGGCCCTCTTGTCCGTGTGCTTCGATTGGTTGATGGTGAGAAAAAGCCTCCCATGGGGTACATTTATGAAGCTATGGACCGGGCTAAAGAAGCGATTGCTAATTCTTTTAATGGCAATGAAGAGAAGTACAAACACATATTTGAAATCATTGACCGAAGGTGGGAAGTTCAATTGCATCGGCCTTTGCATGCAGCTGGGTATTTTTTGAACCCAGAGTTTTTCTATTCCAATCCAGAGGTTGAGAAAGATCAAGAAGTCATGAATGGCCTATATAAATGTTTGGAA